TTTACCATGAACTTGTCTCGTCTAGAAAAGTATACCCATCAAAGGGAACTCGAGGGTGACTTGGCCATGTAACCCACACGGTCTTGAGTGCCAGCGTGGCTGTATCTCATGACAGTGATCTTCATCTTGATGTCATTTGTTCCTCTCTCTTGGCTCCTTCTCACTGGGATACAAGCATAATCTAACAGCATCCATTTAAAAGCTTTGGTTTTCTCAGTGCTTAGAGCACCACCTCCCCACTCCCACCCCCACCCCAACTCCTGCCCGGACTGAGGGTCTCAGGTTCCATTCTGGTCAAGGGCATGTACCTCGGTTGCAGTTTTGATCCCTGGCTCTGGTTAGGGCATGTGTGGGAGGCAAACTGTTGATGTGTCACTTTCACATCCATGTTTCTCTTTCTCCCTCTCCATCTCCCTCATCCCTCCCTTTCACTCTCTAAAGATCAATGGAAAAAAATATCCTCTGGTGAGGATTAAAATAAAGAAAAGAAGCTTCCCTTGACTCATATGCCCTACAATTTCTCTGCTTTCCTTCTCCACAAACTCCATTGCTTGATGGATTATTCTCTCAGTCCATTCCACTCAGATTTCTGTCCCCACTCATCCGCTGACCCACTCTTACAGAGAGATATCTCTGTTCTCATTTACTGTGCCTCGCACGGCCCAGCACAGCTGACCCCTCCCTTCCTAAACACACTGCTCCCTAACCACAGCACTGTCGTGCCTGTCCTTGTTTCAACGTCCACACCTTCATTTTCTTTGCTTGGTCTTTTCTTTTGCTCATTTTCTAAATATTGGTGGGCAACAGTGTTTAGAAAGTACTTCTTGTCCTTTCCAAATATAGTCTTTGCCTTCTTAAACTTCCATGGCCTCCTGCTCTCAGCACCATCTCTTGTCTTCCCACCTGAGTCCTGGACTTTCTACTGTTTGATGCTTGCTTTAGACCCACTTGGGTGTCTAGTTAGTATCTGAAACGTAAGATGTACAGAGCAGAACTCTTGATTTTTCTCCCAAACATCTGCTCCTTTCTAGTCTTCGCTATGTCAGTGAAAGGCCCCGCCCTGTACCGAGTAACCGAAGCCCAAACGCCAGCAGTCAAGTCTGCTGGCTTCTGGCTGACCAGAGCTCATCTTCCCCAGTCACCCCCGCTCCCTGCCTTTGAGACCATCAGGCCCCGGCAGCTGCTGTCCTCACAGACCAAAGAGCCCCACGTGTGGTGCTAACTCACAATGAAAGACCTCGATGCTGGCCAGCTGGACCTGTGGATCCTCTGGGGGGACGGATCGCACACCAGGAGTAGTTGGGTTAAAGCTTGTGGGGAAGACTTCGATGATGGGAGGCAGGCAAAGCTTTTCCTTCTTCCACCACCGGGCTGCTTCCAAGACGCACGGTTCATCCAGTCTCTCCAAGGAAGTTCTACAGGAAAAGCGATCATCAGGGTTGGTTTTTGAAGCCTTTGCCAGCTTAACATACACCTTGTATTTATTCTCCCGCTTTCCTGCCTCACTTCTCTTTTTCTCCCTCACTCTGGCTTCCCTGGGATCCTGCTCCCACAGAGTCAGTTACCTTAGGCCTCAGACTCTCTTTCCCAGGCAACCCAAACTAAGACACCATCTTGGATTCCTTTCCTTTTTCTTTTTTTCCTTTCTCACTTCCAAATCCAGTCCATGTTGAGTTGACTGTTTTTCCAACATAGTCTAACTCTCTTTTATCTTCCCCTCTGTTTTCACCTTGTCTAGTCTGCGGTCATCTCTTACCTAGATGACTCCTCGTGTAGCTTCCTAACTGGTCTCCTGTGCTCATTCTCACTCCCCCACGGTCCATTCTCCCCGGGGCCCCCATCACACCCATACAGTGAAACCTGTCTCATAACCACTGGCCTGCTGGTTCCTACGTGATTGTGGCCGTGGCTACTTTCCCTCCCCTTCCTCCTGCTATAGCCAGACTGGTGTTCTTTCTTTTCCTCAGGACACGGGTGCTTAGTCCTGCCTTGGGCTCCTTCTGTCCTTTGTCTGGAATGAACTTTCTGCAGATCTCCAGTTGGCTGAGGACTTTTTCACATTCAGATCTCGGCTCAAATGTCTGCGTAGAGACCTTTCCTGACCATGCATTCTGAGTGGCCACCCGGTCACTACCTACCACATCACTCCAGTTGCTTTTCATCATGGCATTTATCAGATTCTAACTTGTGCTTGTTGTCTTTCTCTCTCCACATGCAGATGTTCTAGAATGTAAGATCTAGAAGAGTAAGGTCCATTTATATCTTTTTTAAAAATTTTAAAATTGAATTTATTGGGGTGAAATTGGTTAATAAAATTACAGGTTCGAAATGTACAATGCTCTAATACATCATCTTATATTGTATTGTGTTCAACACTCAGAGAGTTAAGTGTCCTTCTATCACCATTTATCCTCCCTTTACCCTCTTCCACCTGTTCCACCTTCAGGCCCCTTTTTATCTTGTTGAATGCTACATCCTCAGTTCTTAGACTCCTACCTGGCCCAGAGGAGGTGCTCAATAAATATTTATGAAGTGAATAAGCTGATAACTATAGAGCTCATTAAACTCGAAACGATAGTAAATGAGAAATTTAATTAGGAACAAAGTAGCTAAACACTGATACTTCTATCTGGTGGGTGAGTGTGCTATCTCACTGCCTGGCCTGGTCACCAGCTGGCCCGTGCCTCATGGAGGTGTTATCTTCCCCAGTCCTGGTGCAACCCTGGGCTGCTCCTTTGCTTCCTTCCTGGTGCTGTTCAGTTGGATACTGTGAAGGTTGCCTATAAACTGGCTGAGTCAGACTTGGGTCACTTATTAACCATAGTGACTCTAAACCACGTTTTTATCTTTTAATGCCTCCTATCCAACAGCTGCAGTAGGGCTGTGCCTGCTCAGTGTGTTCCAAACTGAAGTTGAGTTAGTAGGTCCTCTGTGGAGCGTATCTGCATCATGTTCTGTGAGAGCATAATAAGGGAGACGGTTGGTGTATTAGGTGCCAAGTGTCCCATGACCTGCAAGTGGTGTTACCCTTTACTTGTAGGCCAGGAGAAGGGAAGCACCCATTGATGGTCTTGCCTGCATCTGTTAGTTCATAAATGATAATTTTAAAAATGGTAATATTCCTGGCACATTTATCATCTGTTTTTCGCCTCTAGAGAATTTTCCCTCATAAACATTTATTTACAGTTTATTTCTAAAATTTAGAAGGAAGATTGTCCTATCTTTGTCCCTTACAAAGGTTTTGCACATAGTGGTCCCTGCAGTAGATCTGGCAGCCGTCTCTGCACATTTGGATGTGCTGCATGGACCACCAGCCATGGTGGGGTGAGTCTTCAGCGTCGTCACACACGGTCTGCTGCTGCGAGATATCAGTGGCCGGTGAGGCAGGCTGAGCACAGCTCGCTCCGGGGCCCTCACCGCTGCTGGCCGTGGCAGACTGATTCTCAGCTGGCTGTCGCCCATCTGCATGTGCCCAGGTGGCATCAGACCCTGGAAATGGTGTTGCCCATTTGTGTTATTTCCTAATAAAGGAACTATTCTATAGCAAGGTGAATACAGAGAGAATGTACTTTTGTTTATGTTCTTCGACTTTGTATTTTCTGCCAAATTCTGCCTCTGTTTTTTTTTTTTTTCCGTTCTCTGCCCCCTGCTTACAAATCAGTACATTTTTAGTCATGTTTGGTTTGGATCTTCTCATGCTGGGTAGGGAATTATACTCAAGAACACATACAGAGGACATGAGGGAACTGGAAAATAGGCAACAAGAACTGATTCAAGAGAAGATAGAACATGATGGGGCTTAATGTACTATGAGAGATATTAAAATCGGCTCATCCCCCCTGGTTTTTATTAGCATTAGCTGGGGACTTTGGAAAAATACAGATGCCTGAGTCCTACTCTGAGAATTTCTGTTTTAATTGATCTGAGGCAGGGACCAGCTTGTGTGTGTGTGTGTGTGTGTGTGTGTGTGTGTGTGTGTGTGTGTGTGTGTATTTTTCCTCCATAATCTCCATAGATCATTCTGTATGTAGCCAGGAATGAAAACTGGTGGACTATATATTTTCTATTTAGCTCTAGAAACCAGAACCAGTAGCATTGGGCGAAAGGCACAAGACAGAAAGGTACAATGAAAAATACTCTGGTAATTAAAACTTTCTCCTCCTGGAAATACTCAAGTATACATGAGTTAACTTTCGTGAAGGATGCTGTGAAGATGACTGCTTTGGCTAACATGTAGGACTTGCTCATTCCTTTAGAAAGGAAGAGTGCTTCTGTGCTGCTGCAGGTTTGGCCTGGAGTGTGCAGAGGTCAGTTTTGGGCACGTGGAGTTTGAGATGTTTTTGGGCCATCTAGATGGAGATGCTAGTTGACTACATGGCTTTGGAGCTCGACAGAGACGTGATGAAGAGAACATCAGTGAAAGGTGTGGCAGAAGTGACCTCCATACTTGCTTCATTTATTCAGCCCACATCTTATCCACGTGCCTGTGTTCATAGTGATGGACAGGACAGTGCTTCTGTGTTCATGGGCCTCATAGGCAAGGCCACTAAACACTGAAGGGTCTGTACACAATTCCCGGCAGCTTTTTGCCATCTGTCAGCTAGGCGGCTGCAGTCTAGAGCCCAGGGCTGCACCTGGATTGTAAAGTCCTTAGAAAAGTTCTCTGTAAGACATCTAAAATGACTGACAACATGTGCCGACATTGAGGTTGATGAGAAAAAGAGAAATTTTTGTGGTGATTGCTCAGCCCAGGGAATAAAATCTTGGAGAAAACTTTTCAAAATCTTTTTTATTTATGTTTTGCTTTTTTTTTTTCTTTTGGCCACCTTTCCCTTTATCTCTTAAATTTTCCTACTTTTTGTAACGTCAGTGCTATCAGTTCTTGAATAGAGATATTGCTTGATAAACAATTATTCCTTAGTATCTGGTTTTTAAATTTGGTCATGTGCTCTCAAGGACTCATTAGAAATATGATATAAATGTTACTTTAACAACCACAGATATCGAGAGGCGATTCAGAAGTGGGATGAAGCACTGCAGTTAACCCCAGATGATGCTACCCTATATGAGATGAAGTCACAGGTAAGGGCTATGAAGAAGGCCACTTTCATTATGAAATTGCACTGTGTTTGTTTGATGAGCTTGATGAACCAAAATAGCATTTCCTGCTATTTTCTTTTTACTACTAAAATACAGTTTATTTGGGGAGAAATTGTTACGATATTATTTATGACTTTTTCTTATATATCAAATTAGAAATTTGTTTACCTTCATAATGCAGTTAACTGCTATTTCAACTTAACTATGATATGAGCACATGGGCATCTTTTAAAAAGTCTCTGGTAATCTCGTAAATACATGAAATATGTTTGCTTTCCTTGGAAATTAAGTGTAGTGGATTTTGCAATAACTTTCTTCTAGTGGATTGGATTCTAGATGATATTTCTCTGAAAAATGGCCTAGTCCTTAGCAAAACGTTAGAATAGGCTCAATTTATTAATAGTTTAAAAATACCATTTGTACTTAAAAATACATTTTTAATATTTTGTGGGAAAGTTTATAAAGAAAACCTCTGAGTACTTGGATTAAATTATCTAAGAGAACTTCAAATCTCAAAGCATTGATCATATTTTTGGCAGGAAATAGTTGCAATGCTGCCTTCATCCATGTGCCTAACATCTTTCCTGATGATGAGCTCAAACACAGGGTACATTCTTTATCAGCTGTGATTTTAGTTTATCCAGGAAAAACCCAAATTATGTCTACTAAATAAAAGTGGTATGAGGACCATCATTTGGATAAATAATTTTCTTTTTTTAAAAAGTGTTTTTATTGATTGGGGGGGAGGGGGAGGAAAAGGGAGAGGGATAGAGAGAGAGAAACATCAATGAGAGAGAAACATCAATTGGCTGTCTCCTGCACGCATGCTACTGGGAATTGAGCCTGCGACCCAGGTGGTTGTGTGCTCTTACTGGGAATCCAACCAGTGACCTCTTGGTTCATGGGTCAGTGCTCAACCACTGAGCCACTCTGGCTGGGCTAGATAAGTCATTTTCAGTCTTGAATCTGTATATACATATTAAAGGCAGGATTTGTGGTGAATTGTATGAAATGAGTTGTTTAATTTGGAACTTGATAATGATGATTGTTTCACAAATTTTGTGAAATGCATGTGGTCCCAAAGATTATTGATAATATGCAGCCCTTTTTTTTTTTAAAGGTGAAGGGTTCAGGAACACCCTGGTTTTTCTGATGTGTGGTGTGAAGAACCCAGTTGTGGGGAGGCCTGTGGAATGTTTGCATGGCTTTTATAGCAGGAAGGTGTTCACTGGGGTTAGGGTGGGTGGTTGAACACCTGGGGTACCCTAAAATCCACATTGTAAGTGGAATAAATAGAAGTGGAATTGAGAGATCAAATAGTTCTGAGCTACCATGGCGAGAGTATGACTGCATGGTTTTGACTGATGGACAACAGTGTTCAATAATTGGAAAGGGAATGATTTACATTTTTATAGTTTTTCAGGAGAAGGAAGAAGAATGTGATTCCTGACCCTGAATGGCAGTGGAGGAGTCAAAACCACTGAAATACTATGTTTACCAGACTGAAAATATGTTTTTAAAAATGGAAAGAGTTACTTATATATGGTTATCTATTAGTAGTTTGCTAGTTTATGAATATTACTGACAGGTTTTGTTTCTTTGTTTGACTATAGGTCCTAATGTCACTTCATGAAATGTTCCCTGCAGTTCACGCAGCAGAAATGGCTGTGCAGAGAAATCCACATTCGTGGGAGTCTTGGCAAACTCTGGGGCGCGCTCAGCTTGGATTAGGAGAGATAGTGTTGGTAAGGAAGTCTGATATCTGATTATAATGCTAAAATTCTGTTTTTTTAATATTTACTTATTTATTTTTAAAGATTTTTTAAATTGAATTTTAAAGAGAAAGGAAGGGAGAGGGAAAGATGTGATGGAGAAACATGGATCGGCTGACCGGGAATTGAACCGGCAACTTTTTGGTGCACTGGACAACTTCCAACCGACTAAGCCACACTGGCCAGGGCTATGATGCTAAAATTTTATTTTGACATGTTTTGATCAGCTCAACCTAAACGTTAGTCATTTATCAAATCTATGTAAAAAATAAATAGCCAATCAACCCTTAAAGGTATTAAACGACAAACACAGGTCAGAGTTATTACTGTTATTTACATCATAAACACCAATTCAATCAGGGTCAGAATATTTTTCAGGTAATTTGAATCATGAAAGTTAATAAAAAAATTTCACATAGCCTGAACGCATCCTGACCAGGATCGAAACCGAAACCTAGGTCTATGCCCTGACTGAAAATTGAACCTGCAACCTTTTGGTGTATGGGATGGACACTCTAACCAACTGAGCCATCTGGCCAGGGCAAAATTTTAAGTTTTTTTAAATAAGAGTACTCATTGTTTAACTGTTTTATTTTTTTCTATTTATGTGGTTTTGCCCATTATATTGTGAAGTTCTTGGAGGAATTAAAACTTATTTTGTCCTCCTTTAATGTTTTTTAGGGCTCTATTTGAGAAAATTCTAAATTTGCAATATTTATGTAAACTTAACCTGTTCTTTTGAAAGACTGGAATGGCTAAAAATTACTCAATGTCATAATGAAGGGATACTATGAAAAATACATTGAAAGCAAGCTAAAATTTCTGATATAACAATTCTTATTACAGAGGTGGGCAAAAGTAGGTTTATAGTTATTTGTATGAAAAATAATACAATAATTAATAAATAATACAAGAATAAACTATTTTGTGCACTCACAACTATAAATCTACTTTGCCCCACCCACATATATAAACATAAGAAAATACATAGTTAAATGGAACGGATAATAAATTAAAAGTCAATAGTTGGTAGATCTCTATAAGTAATTATTTATATTTTTATACAGAATTGGGTGTATATGTTGGAAAATGAATTTAGGCTTGGTTCTTCATTTTCTAATTTTTTGAGGTGTAAAGGTAGGTGTTTTTGGGTTTTTTTTTTTTTACTTGAGATTGTTCTTTTTTAACAGGCATTTAGTGCTATAAACTTCCCTTTTCTGCTTTTGCTGCATCTCATAATTTTAGTGTATTTTTATTTTCATTTGTGTCAAGATCTTTCTTAATTTCTCTTTGATTTCTTTTTGAACTTACTGATTGTTCAAGAGTGCGTTAATGTCTGCATATTTGTGAATTTTCCCATTATCCTTTTGCTATTGATTTGTAGTTTATTCCATTTTGGTCAGAAAAGATGGTTGACATGCCTTTTTAAATTTGTTAAGACTTGTTTTGTGGTATAACATGTTTTCTGTCCTAGAAAATGTTCCATGTGTACTCGCCAAGATGTCTGTTCTGCTGCTGTTGGGTGAAAGGTTCTGTGTAGGTCTGTGTGGTCTGTTGCTCAAATCTTCTGTTTCCTTATTGATGTTCCTCCCTTCAGTTCTGTCCGTGTTGACTTTATACACACAGGTGTTCTGATGTTGGGTGCGTATGTTTTGATAAGTGTTATATAATTATGGGGAGTTGACCATTTTTCGTTATGCAGCGTCTGCCTTGATCTCCCATGACACTTAGTTTTAGTGCATGTTAGCATTACTGTGATCTAAACTCTTGGTTTCAGCGTTGTGCGTTTCTGGTACCTTCCTGACTCTGATTTAGCCCTGGAAATCACTGAATTCATGTATTAGCTGATCTGCAGAAGCTGAAAATGTGTTTGCCTTGTTTTGAGCTATAATATCAGTACCTCTATTTTGATGGACTTCTAATCCTCATCAGCAATTTGTCAATCCCTTTCACAGTTTTATAACCTTTGCTTTTTTCTTCATAGTCATCATCCATGGTTAGGGCACCGCCCTAACTTCCATTTTTACATCCATATACTATATTTTATATATATATATATATATATATACATGCAGATATTGTGGATTATGCTAAACACATTCATTTTTTTTTTTAAAACAATGCAAGGAGAAAAACCTGGCCTTTTCTTTCCCTAGGCAATTCGAAGTTTTCAAGTAGCCCTTCATATCTATCCAATGAACCCTGAAATATGGAAAGAAGACCTTTCTTGGGCAAGAAAGCTCCAGGAGCAGCAAAAGGTAGCCCAGAGGATTAAAAAAAATGAAGCACCAGCGGAAGTCACACATGTCTCACCCAAGTCCATTCCCGACTATGACTTTGAAAGTGATGAGATTGTTGCTGTTTGCGCAGCTATTGCTGAGAAACAAAAGCCGGTTTCAGATAATAAAACCATGGTTATTGTGTCCGCTTCTGGGACCGTGGAGACTGTAAGTGAGAAGGAAGATGGGGCCACTGCCCCCGATGGCTCTGTTTTTATCAAAGCCCGATGAAGCTTAGCAGGAGCTCCTTGAATCCACCTGTTTGATTGCCACAAAGTTTTAGGCAAACAGGCATTTACTCTGGAGAAACAGGGTCACACTCCTGTTTGTAAAATCAGTTTTTCAGATGAGGCATATACAAACTAAAGGGTAGGATTATTATAGAGTGTTTGGACTCTGCTTTGATAAGTTATGATTTAAACTTAAGATTAGAATTCTGACTACAATGGTTTTTGATGAATAAACTTAATCCAAATGTATGAGTGAATACATTTTAAAGACAGAACTTGGAAGTGAATGCTCCAGTAGTGAATAAATTGATGGCCAGTGTTATTAAAATATTGACTTTTTTATGACAAGGAAGTGGGTGATTTCTCTCCCTCCAAAAAAATATACTGCTATTACTGTTCACTCTTCTATTTTTCTTGTTTTATTAGAGTAACTTTGTCATGAAGCTTGAGTATTTTGATGTTCATGTTTCTTTCAAAATTGTCATTTGGTTGTAGGTAGATTCTTTGCAAGTTCAGCTGGAAATGCATGCAACTGTGTGTGTTCCGGACATTTTCTGTAGAGACTCTTACATCGGATTTATGCTTGTTTTGACTTTAAAATTACTATCACCACGATAGTTGTCACCTTCAGTATTTTATGGATGTGGGAATTACTGATACATTGTCAGAATGATGGTTTTAATTTTTTAATTGTTAAAGTAGACAGTCCTTAACACAAGCGAGCCATTTTTGAGATGTGCATTATTTAAATGAATGGCTCTTATAGCTATATCATAAATTGTACGGCAATGTTGTCCTAGTCAAAAGCAGTATTTCCTTTATTTTTAAAAGCTTAAAAACCTTGTCCTGGTCGGTGTGGCTGAGTTGGTTGAGTGTTCTCCCATGCACCAAAAGGTTGCTGGTTTGGTTCCCAGTCAAGCACATGCCCAGGTTGTGGGCTTGATCCCCAGAAGGGTGAGCAGGAGGCAGCCGATCAATGTTTCTATCTCTCCCTTCTCCCTCTCTTTTCCTCTCCCTCTGAAAATCATAAAAACATTAAAAAAATAAAAAAGAATAAAAGCTTAAAAACCTTGAAAATAACTTATCTTTTGCTTATCTGTTCAACTGATGCTTTGGAATTCTTTTTCTAGATAACTTGTTCGGAACTGCTCAGTAAAATGAGAAATAACCACAATTTTAAATAACTAAATTGTATGTTTCTAAAAAGAAAACAAACATAGTGATGTTATTAGAAATCCAATGAGTTAATAACTTAGGCACAGCACACATGGAGACTGAAATGTGATTTGTGATAGGATCTCGTGAATAGAGAAAGGTATATTGAAGCAGTAGTTCATTGAAACAACACAGTTATAGCCCCAAATCAGTATTGTCATTGCTAATGTGAACTGTTATTTTTATAGCACACCCGTTGTAGTACAGTTACATAGAGCTGCTGGGCACTGTTACTTCTGACCCTCAGGAAGCTTTATTGGTGTGAAATTACGTTTATCCTTGGTGGAGATGAAAGTAAGTTACTCTGTTTGAAGAAATCTTCTGTTGGAGCATTTGTTGGATGCATGTAAGTACTGGTTTCTATTTTTCTGAGATGATTTAAGGTTTTCTTTTAGTAGAATGTTTACCTCTTTTTTTTTTTTCAGAGTCTGAGAAGTCAGCACTTGCCTTGAAAGGTATTACATTTCCCCCCAAAGTTATATTAGAAATTTATCTCTGGTTGGAGAGGTTAATTTTAGAATGATCCAAAAAACAAATATCAATTATATTTTATTTTATGAAAAATATTCTCAAAGGGTGGGTAGTTGGGTGTCTAGAGAAGTTGGTATGTTGTTTTGAGTTAATGGGTATTTGTTTATAATATAATTGGTGAATAAGTCACTTTTTTCTGTATTTTATTTATTTATTTATTTATTTTTTTTAAAAAAAATTAAATCTTTATTGTTCAGATTATTATATTTGTTCCTCTTTTTTCCCCCCATAACTCCCCTCCTCCCAGTTCCCACCCCACCCTCCGCCCTCACTCCCCACCCACTGTCCTCATCCATAGGTGCACGATTTTTGTCCAGTCTCTTCCCGCATCCCCCACACCCCTTCCCCTCCCCCCCCCCAAGAATAGTCAGTCCATTCCCTCTCTATGTCCCTGATTCTATTATAATCACCAGTTCATTCTATTCATCAGATTATTTATTCACTTGATTCTTAGATTCACTTGTTGATAGATGCGTATTTGTTGTTCATAATTTGTATCTTTACCTTTTTCTTCTTCTTCCTCTTCTTAAAGGATACCTTTCAGCATTTCATATAATACTGGTTTGGTGGTGATGAACTCCTTTAGCTTTTCCTTATCTGTGAAGCTCTTTATCTGACCTTCAATTCTGAATGATAGCTTTGCTGGGTAAAGTAATCTTGGTTGTAGGTTCTTGGTATTCATCACTTTGAATATTTCTTGCCACTCCCTTCTGGCCTGCAAAGTGTCTGTTGAGAAATCAGCTGACAGTCGTATGGGTATTCCCTTGTAGGTAACTTAGTTTCTTTCTCTTGCTGCTTTTAAGCTTCTCTCTTTGTCTTTTGCTCTTGGCATTTTAATTATGATGTGTCTTGGTGTGGTCCTCTTTGGATTCCTTTTGTTTGGGGTTCTCTGCGCTACCTGGACTTGTAAGTCTATTTCTTTCACCAGGTAGGGGAAGTTTTCTGTCATTATTTCTTCAAATAGGTTTTCAAGATCTTGCTCTCTCTCTTCTTCTGGCACCCCTATAATTCGGATGTTGGTACGCTTGAAGCTGTCCCAGAGGCTCCTTACACTAGCTTTGTATTTTTGGATTCTTTTTTCATTTTGCTTTTCTGGTTGGGTGTTTTTTGCTTCTTCGCATTTCAAATCTTTGCCTTGATTCTTGCGCTCCTCTGGTCTGCTGTTGGGAGTCTGTATAATATTCTTTATTTCAGTCAGTGTATGCTTAATTTCTAGTTGGTTCTTTATCACAACATCGAGGGTCTCATTAGATTTCTTGAGGATCTCACTACATTTATCGGCAGTCTCACCAGTCTTTTTGAGCATCTTACTAAATTTATCGGCGGCTTCTAGACAGTTCTTGAGAGACCTTAAAAGTGTGTTTTTGAACTCTATATCCTCCATTTCTGTCATTTGTGTCCTGTTTCTTTGTCTCCGCATTTTTTATGCTTTCTTGGTGCACCCCCTTGTGGTCTTTGTGCGCAGTCTTGTTGTAGTTAAGCCTTGATTGTTGTAGGTAATACTGGGGGGGATTTGACCTCCAGGCCAACTGGCTGTGAGAATCAGCTGTGTCTGCAGTGGGAGAACTTCTGTCCTCTAGGGAGGTGCTAATCTAGCCTTTGCCTGAGGCTATCCCGCAAATGCCTCTGTGCAAGGCTTGGGCAGGGCGGGTCCCAGGGGATCTACAGGGCGGGCGGGTGGAGCGATCAGTTATGGCTGCTCTCAGTTCCGTCCCCAGAGGCTCTGCCTCTCAGTGTCCCAGCAACTGCTGCAAGTACCTTGGAGAGAAAGCTGCCCTCGAGTTCTGACCGATGCCAGACAGTCCCGCTTCTCCCGTTTGAGTCTGGGTCCCCAGAGACTTGCCCGGAACTGGAGCCCAAATCCTGAGACTCCCTCCCGATTGAAACAGACAACCGCGCCCTCAGCTGCCAGCCAGCTCCGCACGCACCTCCGCACCTTTGTATTTTACATCCGCACCGCACCTCCTCTGAGTCCCGGTATGCTTTTCTCTTTCCTTCTAGTTGTAGAATTTCCCCTCAGCCAGCTTTCCTGTGGTTCTGGGTGATGTCCGTTCCGTCTTTTAGTTGTATTTTTGAAGTAGTTGTGCGAGGCAGCAATCTCCAGTGTTTACCTATGCCGCCATCTTGGTTTCTCCTCTTTTCTGTATTTTAAAGATTTGCCTATTATTTTGTGTTGTTAGCTTTTGGAAAATTAGGTTTTTTCTTATGTGAAAATGAAATATGTAAAGCACTTTCTATGTTAAGTTGCATATGAAGTACTTGGTAAATGCTAGCTTTTTCTATGAAGAAGTGGAATTAGTTTGGAGATATTTAACCTCAGTTTTTCCTGATCTTAAGAAAGGAGAAGAACTTCTTTGTGATTTTTTTTATCTGAAAGTGAGGAGTCACTACTTTTGATAGTATAGGACAGATGGTCATCAGTTGGGGGTTGTTCCGGAAGAGACAAGACCCAGGATGGGGTGTAGGTTGCCACTAGATGCTGCTGAAGAATCTGTGTTCCCTTTGAAGTGACGTCTGTTGGCCAGGTTCGTCTCCTTCTCACTCACATAAGGGACATAGGATGGTTTACACATGAGATGGAGGAGGAAGAGAAATCCTGAATTATGGAGAAGAAAGGCAGCTCATTTCTCCAGGCCCCAAAAGATGCTTAGCTAACACTCTTTTGTGCATGAAGAGAAAATGGCAAACATTATTTTATAGGGAGGTGAAAACTGAAATGCTGACATTTACTAAACTGACTGAAATAAATTTTTTTGAGTCTGAAAGAAAAATAATTGATATTCATGGTAGGATATAAAGATGTTTAATATACTTCCTGAAACAACACTGCACATTAAAATTATATGGAATACAATTTGTATTTTTCTTGGTGGAAAATTGTATGGCATAGACACTCATTAGTCAGAACACTATACCTCCAGACCGTGCCTGCTAATTTGAGAGTCATGTATTATTCTCTAGACAATAGGTTCTTGTCTTGTTATTCATCTGAAATCTAAGAAATGCTACATAAACATTAAAAAGTCATGCAATGTATAGATCACAGAACCTAAATCTCTTGTAATTGGGGTTTATGTACAGTATTTTATGGTAGTTTTAAGTTGATGTCATATGGCAAAACTATAATGAAGACTTACATCAAAAAAGTTTGTCTCAGAAAGTTGGAGTTTCCATGAGTATAACTTATTAGTACAGCCTTTTGAATTTGAAAATAAAGTTATGCTTTATGTCATATTGTCAAAAGCTAGTTTCATTGCCTTTCCCAGCAGTAGGAAAATGGTCAGTCATTTCTTAATTTCAGGCTTCATGAGTCAGAAGCCCTTCCAAATTGACTTTGGACTTTTATTTCATGACATAATGTATCCAAATGATTTGTGAGTTGACACAAGAACCAAAGTTTCATAATTATCTTCAAATCAATGATAATGTTAAATGTGTTTTTTTTCCTGAGAGATTATTAAACTGATAGTGGGTTTTGTAATTGATGGCATTTTAGGATTGAAAAGGTAATGTGTTGTTGTTTTTTTAAACAAGTAATATAGAAAGGATGCGAACTTCTTTTACCAAAGTAAATTGAAATATGTCACTTTAGTCATTTGCAATTCAATAGGCCCACTTGAATGGAAGAGAAGGGGCAGCCCTATAGCTAGCCTACTGTGAATCGTGCCTTAATGTGTGTTGTGTGTGAACTTCACCTGTTGTGTGTGCCAAGGTGGAAGAAAGGTTGAGAAACGTTGGGCTTCACTTTGTTGGGAGGCAAAGGGTAGAGATGGCTTCTTTTCACAGTGCTTCTTTGGACATCTATTAGCCAAGGAATCCTGATCTCTCTCTTCCCTCCCCCCTCCCTCCCCCTCAAGAGAGGGAAT